TCTTTTCACTCTCTCCACAAAGTTTATTTATTGTGGAGAGTTAGTTAAGAATTTCTTATGTTTCACGTTATACTAAATTAGACTATGGTCAATGATGAAGGGTGAGTTTCGAAACTGCACATATCAGCCTTACAATGACCAAAGTATCCTTTCAACTTAAAGTATAAGACTATGTTGTTGAACTAAATTTTAAGTAGCTAAACTTGTACCACAAATCATACTTGCATATATGAAAGTATACGTCAGATATCTTGAATAGTTCTTATAGACAAACAGTGGGTAGAGGCGTTTAGATATATGAAAGTCAACCTAGACAAACTAAGATTTGAGATCAAATAAAATTGTCGAAGTTTGGTTTGCTCTCATTTACTAGTCAAATGTAAATGTAAGCTAAAAATAAGAGAAATGATGGGTATGGATAACCAACCTCAACCTAAATCAAAGAAAGCAAGCATTGTTTTCTTCAACAAAACATGCACTAATTCTTCTTAATCAGTTAAGCCACTCAACTTAACATAATGAAAATATTCCAACATACATTATATTTCAATTTTTACCCATACATTCGAGAAAAAAATAATGTTATTAAAAAAAAATTCGTTTTCATTTCTGTAATATTTCATAAAAAGCCACGATAAATAGAATTTTCTTATTCTACATTATCAAGAAAAATGAAAGACTTAATCTAGTCATGGAAAAAGATGTTATGGAGATAACTCACTTAAAAAAAAATAAATTAAAAACCATTCTATTGCTAGATTGTGAAGCCCAATTGTTCTTTCCCAATTAAGATTCACTCAATAAAAGATCGAGATCCAATCCGAAAGCCCAGCCCCTTTGACCCAAAGGCCCATTTTGATTGCAACATCAAGCATCCAAATCTTTCTTTATTTTTTAAAATGTTATTATTATAATTATTTTTAGTTTAACAACACGAGAGGTTGAGATTCCAACCTTTGACATTTTGGTGAAGGATATATACCTTAAATAGTCAAGTTATATATTCATGTTGGCAGGTTCACACATTTTTTGAATTTAGAGTAGCAATGAAATTTTGTTCAAAATATAATGGGACGATGTTGAGGGCAAAAATATGACCTACCATGTGGCAAGATAAAAATATACTATATTGAATAGTTGAACGACCGAACTATTAAGCTCATCCATAGGTCAGCCGAGCTATTAAGCTCATCCTTAGTGATCGACCTATTAAGCTTGACTAGAGTGATACCAAATAGGTCAAGCAAGCTGAAGAATAGCCTCGAAAAAGTTAGACATCCAACTTATGCTTGAAAAACTACGATTATATTCGAAAGGATATGTTCCAAGCTTAGCTATTGTCAACCTATGGCCTGATAGCCCGTAATCGCGTAGCCACCTGTCGAAATGGTCATAACGGTGTTGTCTCTCACCATTTACCTATAAAAAGGAACCAACTCTTTCATATCAAGTATGTAATTCCTATTTGACGCTGACCTACTCAGCTCGAACTTGGACTGATTTAAATCTCGAAGCGTTTGTCCATTCTTTATAGGTCTTCTCTTGCATAGTTTGTTCGAGTGAAGACATAGTCGCCTTCAATACTCCGACACGACTCAACAACAACAAATGTGATTTTAAAATACACGTGAATTTAAGACTTTATTGGGAAAGGTAAGACCTATTATCTTATCAACAACATAGCTCATTGTTTGCCATACGAGCAACGATGAACCGTCTCTTGTCAAAATCTTCATCTTGACCTTCTTTAAATTTTTATTTTAAAAAATCCATAGATACACAATTGAAAATGGACTAATTTCCATGGAATTATGAATATGTGTTGTGTTTTGTTGGGCATCATGATCCATCTATGAAAGGGAAAAAGTTTGGTTCCTATTTCCTTTATTCTTTACGTAAGCAAAGCTTAGTGGGAAGCTTGGCTGTCACATTGTCACCTAGCTCAAACTTATATTCATTCTCTTCCATTAAAAAATATAAATATAAATAAATAAATAAATAWATATATATATATATATATATTTTGATGATGCTTATTTTTTAATTTTTCACTCCATCTTCCATTGTGGGTCATTTTAATATCAACATTATTGGCGTTTTCTTTAATAGTCCCTTTACAAAAGATATTGAAAAATTGTCCCTCTAATTAATAAACAAAATATCGATCTAGAGATACCTATTATCATCTAAAAGTCTATGGTTCAATCGTCCACCCTGTAATTATTGAACTCAAAAAAGAAAAAAAAGGCTAAATATATATCATTATTGAAGTTTTGAGAACTAAATTTATGATTTACTTTTTTTTTGTTAATTCAATAATGATGAGAATTGAATATCGAAACATTAAGGATGAGAATTTATAATTTAACTATGATAAAATGGGACCAATCTGATCATCGTCACTCAACTGATTAAAATATATATTTATGACAAAAAGGTATAGGTTTAAATTTCCATCCGAGACGTTATCCTCGAAAATATAAAACTAGGATGAGATGGGAGGAGCATTAAGTGGTTGGAGTGGGTTTACTTTTCCAATATCAAATTTGTTGTATATAAAAAAATAAAAATAAATAAATAAGACAAAAGGAAAAAGCGTACGCACGTGAGCGTCGGCACGTGCTGTCTGGCTGTCTCGGAGAAACTTCTTGGCAATGGCCAGAACAGCAGCCTCTTCTGAATGTTATCAAGGAATTTGTCTACAAGGAAGTACCCAATTTGGAATAACATTTTTTCGGGTTTTTTATTCGAAAAATCTTTTATATTATAATTTATTTTACCTTTTCCGAAATATCTTCGTATTAATATTATATATAATGCACCAGCCAATTAAATGAGAAATCGCTTTGAAATTTTTATATTTTTTAATTTATTTATAAGGAACAGAGTGGAATATTTATAAATATTCCTCAATTATTCTCTAAATTATATATAAGTAATACTTTCTCTCCTTTTTTTAGCCATTTTAAGTTGATGGTCGTTATCTGAAAGTCAAGAAACATGTGCAAGTACATAATTTATTCTGTTTTTTAAACAGACATAAAAATATTAAATATATATCTCAATACAACAATTTTAATTTCAATTTTTAATATATTTTCAATCAAGTTCCATTTCGATCAAAAAAAAAAAAAGGGAAAGATATAATGTGATTGAGAGTAAATCATTTGTGAAAATTTATTATTTAATAAATGGTACGTTTGTTTCTTTAGGAGAAATATTATATTTTAACCGTGAGTTAGTCAAATAACTTTGGATTAGTGTGTTCGTTTTTCTTTCACATGATTGAGAATCTTGTTTAGGCCATGAGGATGAGGGACAATCCGTCACCTAAATAGGGATGCAGATAGAGCATACATTACCTGTCTCTATCCCCACCTTGCCCATTTTATATATATAAACCCTAACCTATTCTACCCACTCATTATTTTTATTAGATGACTAAAATTTTGTGTTTTAAACAAATATTCTCTATAGAGATTTAAGAGAAATTCATTATTAGGAATTAATCTTTTTATTATAGACTTATTTTAACAATTATCTAAAACAACAAGAATGAGCGGAAAGTAACTTTTCCAGATATAATGAAAACTTTTTAATAAAAACTATGTTGGTAAGGCAGCGAACTACAAATATTCATCTTTAGTATGCAAACTTTTGAAATGTCTTAATCACCACCTTTATTAAATTCAAAATCATCAACAAATTTGTCTTAGTAACGGTGTTTCTAAGTTTCACAACCGTATGTCTCAAATGTCAAGAAATGACCTTTCTAAGGATAAGAAACTAATTGTCAATTTTTAATTGCTAGTTTACTTATTTTCTTTTTAATACAACAAGTGGCAGAAATTTGAACTCACGATATTTTGATCAGAAATATATATATTATTCAGTTGCAAAAGTCTCGGTGAGAGTGTTTTAAAAAACAAAAGCAAAGGACTTTAAAATATTTTCAAAGTTTTTTTAGTTCAAAATGGGAGAGTTAGGATTAAACCTCTCAATTTTAATAGGATAAATGACGTTTAGAATGGTTCAAAATTTGAAGTTTAAACAACTCATTGGCTTGAGATTTCTTCTTAAAAAAAAAATACAAACTTTACCTACCAATTAATTGTTTAAATTCTCTAAAATTATCCACTAAATTCGTCCAACGTTTCAAACTGGTTCAAAAATTCCAATTTTCAAATAGAGTCTATAAATAATTTTACATTATTTATCTTGTTTGAATTGAATGTAATTTTTTTTTGTTAGTTTGAATATTGGAAGAAATTGAAAAGTTTACTTTTACAAACATTTGATCTTGATTTGTTAATTAAAAAAATCAAGTTTTTTAGATGGTGTTTTTTTTTGGATTAAAAATTAAAAAAAATATTGATTTGTTAATTATAAAATATAGTTATCTTTAACATTCTATAAAATGTTACAAAATTCAATAATTTTAGTCTCAGAGTTTGTAATATAAAACCAATATTTTAAATAAGCATTTCAAATTATTATACTCCATGGAATCCGAAATTTGAAATCTACTAAAATTTTAATAGGTATATTTTCAACCCCAATAAGTCATTTTGAATTGGTTAAGTTAATATGAATTTTCTTTATTTTTTTCTAAGTATAAAACATGCTGAGTTTTTTTTTTTATTAATTTCACAGATGAGTATACAATTCGAAATTGGATTTTTTTTCTAATTAAAAATATACATTGAATTTAACCTGGAATATAATAAATAATAATGTTTCGATAAAACGGAAAAATGTGAGCGAATAATAAGTTGGTCAAAACATCCCAGTGAAGCCCACTGGGCAGATCCTACATCCTTGTACGCGTTGCGCACACGGCTGACTGAAAATTTAATTTCCTTAATATTTAAGGAAAAAATCTCAACCGTCCATCGCCAACAATCCCAAATCTCTGATGTCATTACGTGTCAAAATCGCAGACCCTCGCAGCCTCCTTTTATTAATTAAATTAAATTAAAATATAAGAAAACGGATTCTGGAGATGAGCCTTCCCGGATTAGCAGCAAACAAACACAACGTTCTCTCTCGGTAATCTCAACTCTCCTTTATTCTCCTTTTTGCTTGTATAAATCTCTCAGATCCGACTTCTCCTCTGTTCTTCGTAGAACTCCGCTGGCTTCTCCATTGACTGTTCTTCAGTTTTCGATTTCTGCGTTGTGGTTTCTGTTCTGGGAATTGTTCCAGCCATTGTCGTCGACGAAGAAGCGGATTGGTGATCTGTGGTTGATTTGAAGAGGAATCCGAGAATCGCGAGATGAGTTATTATAATCAGGGACAGCCTCCGATTGGAGTTCCTCCGCCTCAAGGTATTGGTGACTTGTTGGTGGATTGGTGGATTTTGTTGTGCGTGATTGTAGATCTGTGCTGATTTAGGGTTTTGGTGGTTGTTTTTGTTGTAGGTTATCCGCCGGAAGGTTATCCGAAGGATGCTTATCCGCCGCAAGGCTATCCGCCGGCCGGATACCCGCCGCAGGGCTATCCTCCTCCCGGCGCGTACCCGCAGCAGGGATATCCTCCGCCTTACGCTCCTCAGTACGGCCAGCCTCCTCCTCAACAGCAAAGTAGCGGCCCTGGTTGCTTGGAAGGCTGGTAAGTTACACACACTCTCTCACCTCTCTCGATCGAAATCGGATCTGAATCGGGACGATCTGGTCCGAGTTCAGAGCGAGCCAATGGCGGGGGAGGCTCGTCTTGTAAAGCGCGCAGCCTCGTTTTCATCGGAGGTGTTCTTGGAAATATCGCCCGATGAAATCCCCGAATTGACCCCCGATTTGCCTCTATATTACATTGCAGCCATTTTTATTTACTTTATTTAGTTTAATTTTGGAGAATATTATTGAACTGAATTTGAGTTTCCGTTTGCATGAAAAACTCTGCAGTTTGGCTGCGCTGTGCTGTTGCTGCTTGCTTGACGCCTGCTTCTGAAGAAAATCATTCGCAATGTGCTGTTGTTCAAATTTAAGAGCTACGTCTCAGAAAATCTCCCTAAAGGAAAAGAAAAACAGAAACAATTGAATTGATGATTTGGGCGTTGATTGTGAAGTTTAATTTCTTGCGTTTATTATCAATATTAGTCTAGTGTTTGTTCTTCATCTCCTCCTCCGTCCTCCTCTCCATTTTCTCTTTTTTCTTACATAAAATAACACCATTATCGCTCTCTCTGGCTCTTTGATTTGCTTGAAAATTCACATTTTCCCGTCCTTATGATTTTCCGGTTTCTGTGTTCTTGAGGTATGATTCTGAACGTACTGATTTTCTTTTGGCCCCAAAAACAAAAACAAAAACCAAAACCAAAACCAAAACAACTCCTCTGATTTGTACATTTTGAAGTAGAAATTAAGAATATATAAATTGATAGTTCATACCATTGATATGTGTTGATTAAGTTGAGCAGGTAGTGTAATATACTGTGCTGCACAGTATGCCCCATTTTCTCTGGTTCTATCCACAGATTTCACAATTTCCATTTTTCTTATTTGTTCTTCTAGTTCTATTGTCAACCATTTAATTAATTATATCCGACTAATTAAAATACCCACCCAGAGATTTAATTGTGTTTGTTTAAAAAATAAATAAATTTCAATAAATTATACAACATTGTAACATAATAATTTTCAAGATCATAGAACTGAAAACAGGTTTCAAATAGAGTCTTATTTTGTTGAATTTCAATTTTTTTGATCTTGTATTTGAAAGAATATTACTTACTCCCTCCACCAACATGTTTGGGTAAGTTTAACGAGTAAAGTGAAATAAAAATATAAAATAATGATTTTTTAAATTAAAAAAAAGGGTCCATAACTTTCGAAATATCTATAGTTTAGCTACAAAGTCACCAAAAAAAAATCAAGAACAATAAAGCTTTACTGTTTATTGTTGATTATTTTTTGTTTAATACTTTTAGAGAACCATAATGGATTGGCAGAAATTAGAAACGTTTTCAAAATTGTATAGAAATTTTAGAAATAACATCTTTTTTACTTTTATTCCCATTTATAGTATTTTCCAATATATAATAAAAACATTATTGTATCATTATTAACTTGTAAAATGCATACTAAATATTAAAAAGTAAATGTATCATACAAATTTTGGATATTTAATTTTAAAAAATTTAAAATTTCATATAAAAATTTTACTTTTTTATTTTTACCAAACATGTTTTTATTTATTAGAAAAGAAAAAAATGAGAAACAGGAAAAAAAATTAAAAGTTTTATTATATACTTAAGAAAACATAAATATCAATAAGAGCAGCATAGTTCAGGAGTAATTAGTATGTATTCTTTTCGGATGTCAAAGTTGGATTTTCCATATTTTTAAATTGTTATACTAAAAACAACACAATCAAGAAAAACATTATTTTTAATACAAAAGAACAACTTTTTTAAACAAAATTTATTTTAAAGATAATATAATAAATGTGGAACAAAATTAGCAGCCGTGTCTGGGGGTGGCAGCTGAATCTGTGCGTCGCCAAAGTGGCTTTCCCGAAAAAATTACAACTACAAGGACAAGGAGGCTGAGGCTGAGGCTGAGCAAAATCTATAAATACGAATCTCCACGAGCGATTCAGAGAATTAGAGAACTTTCGCTGCAAATTTTCAACAAAAATTTGAATGTTCGAGGCTGCAGAAACCTAACCGACCTTTATTGTCTTCTGTAATCGAGGTATTTCATCATTCTCCTTCGAATTTGAATCCTTTTTGTTCTAATTTTATGGTTTTCGTAACTGTTGGAAGCACGATGAGATTGAAATAATTGGGTTCTGCCAATTTAACGTTACCCGCTTCGCTCACCCTTTATTTTGGAGAATAGGGTTTGCCCTAACTTTTTGTTCGAACTCAATTTGATTCGTTGAATATGGGAATTATATTCATTGAAGACGAAGGGTAAAACTTGATATTCGAAATTATCAAATGGATTGAAGCAGAAGATTTGGGTCTGGCCGGGTTGAGCGATCCGGACTGCAAATGGAGTTGTCTTTGTTTTCGCGATTTACCATAGTAGCGTCGCCATCGATTAAGAGATTTGACCTTATGAACTACGGGACGTACTCTACTTTCTTCTGATTTGGCCTAATTGTAGATAGACTTCGTATCTCAGTAGTTCTCTTTTTTAACTCATTTGTATTGTCCTTTAAGATTTTGCCTTGGTTTTGGATGCTTTCTTTTCCAGCACAACATGGTTGATGTTCTATTCAACTTTGATGGGAAGTGATTAGTTAAACTTCACGTTGGATCTTAGATGAAAGTTTAAACCTTCTCCCTTTGTTCTGTTTGGAGGTTCTGAATATGATAACAAATCTGTTCTTTTTTTTTTCTTTTGATAAATATTTTATGATGTGAAAAAAAATAAAATAGTTGGCCCTGGGCGTGAGAATTCTATCTGCTGCTATTGATGGGTGCTCCGAAGCAGAAATGGACTAGCCAAGAAGAAGCAGCCCTGAAGGCTGGAGTTGTCAAGCACGGAGCAGGAAAGTGGCGCACAATACTGAAAGATCCTGAATTTAGCAATGTTCTGTATCTTCGTTCAAATGTTGATCTCAAGGTAAATAGTGATGTTTTAGTTTTTCTGGTATTTCTTATTATGTGTTGCAAGGGGAATTGTTTTGCCAAGAAATTTATATTGAAAGAAAAGACTGATATATGCTTTCAATATTCAAAAAGGACAAGTGGAGAAATATGAGTGTCATGGCTAATGGCTGCGGTTCCCGAGAGAAGACCAGGTTGGCTCTTAAGAGGCAACATACTACTAAAAAGGATGAGATTATTGTGGCTCAAAGTACTGCTGTCCAAAGTGAAGATGAATTAGCAGATGCTAAGTCTGTTTCTCTTTCCTCGGATATCAAGCAGTTTTCTGGCCCAAACCGATCAAATGTAAGGTTGGTCAAATCTTTCATGGGTTTTCCTTCTTCTTTCTTCTCTCTTTTTCAGTTCTTGTTTCTGTGGGCAGGTGCTTTTTGTTTTCCCACTTAACTTATGAGATACTAGAGTCCTAACTTTGGTATTCTGAACAGTGGGATTGGTTATTTGGTTTATTCTGTTGAATGATTCAGTCTAAGTGATGGATTGCCCATGAACTCAGTCCTATTTCTTGCTAGACGGGAATTATGATGTGCTTTATTTTACAAGGCCTGTCCTGATTTCTTATTGGTAGCTATGACCTTAGACATATGTGATTCTACAACTTGTTCCTCAGACCATTGGTTCAACCGTGGTCTATCCCAATTTTGAGATTTTAGCTGTATAAAGAAGAAACTATGATTGTGATAGATGTGAAAGATGCAATATGACTGTGATATGTGTGAAAAAAAAAGTGAAGTATAAAGAAGAAGATAATATGATTCTTATAGATGTGAAAGAGAAGTGAATGCAGATAAAGAAGAACAAAGGGATAAAATCCTATAACATATTAGTTCGAAGTACCCAAAACCTAGAATATAGGCAAAAGAAACATACGATAACCAACAATTTACAAGTAGAAAATGCAATTATTCACTATCTTAACTTTTGAAACATGCATTGATGTGATATGTGTTTGGTAACAAAAGAAGGTTTAATTTGTTTTCCATTTTTCATTTTGTAGGTTTGACAATCTTATAATTGAGGCAATTACTACCTTGAGGGAACCTGGTGGTTCTAATAAGACAGCTATTGCTTCGTATATAGAGGTAATCTTTCTTTTGCCTAATAAAGAAATGCAACTCGTGTTGAAACTCTTCCTTCAATTTCTCACCAGTTCGAGGAGAAAATGAAGGCAAATGGTTGTATGGTGAAAATTAATGATTCCACTCTCTTAAGTCTTACATATTTAGATTTTTCTCTTTATTTCATTTTTTTATATGCTAAAGTAGGTACAAGCTTTCTTTATTTCAAGCCCTTTTTATCTATTCATTGATTCAAGTGACATCCAACATTTTTCAGAAAGATTGGTACGATTTCCAGTAATGTTTCGATTTCAAAACACTCGTGGGAGTGGATATTATAGGATTTGTTTCCTTCTCTTCAATCCCTTCACCCTCTTCTTTCTGTAATTACACTCTTTATATCATTTATGCAAATTTGAAAAGTTTGTTGTAACTCCTCTGCTTTTCTTGAGGGGCTTCCCTTGGTAACTTTCCCTTTTATCAGTGAAATAGTTTTGTTTCTTATGTGTAAGAAGAGTTTGAAATTGGGTACTTCTAAAACTAGAATGACTATTGGGTTCCGGTTTGATGTGAAAATCTTAATTTTATTTTATTTCTCCGAAATTGAACTGTGTTATGCTGCAGCAAGGTTTTATACATGTTATCTTCGTCAGTTGTAATTGCTGCAATTTCTTAGTTCTTTTTCTTTCCTTCCATCAATAGGATCAATATTGGGCCCCTCCAGACTTCAAGAGGTCATTGTCAACGCAATTGAAGTATTTAATAGCTAGTGGTAAACTGGTTAAGGTAAGTAAATCTGACATTTCATGGTTTAACTCTTAAGTTACTTTGACCCACTCGAGCAATTTTTTTTTTAATCGTGGATTCTTAAATAATAATAATAACGTGTTGCTCGTTGTTGAATGCTGTAGTTTCTACATTATGCTCCTATATTTTTGTGATGGTATATGTGGATCTCAATGCTTTAGATTTGGTTTTCACTTCTGAACATTTTCATGATCACGCCTGTTATTTTATTTTTGGTTATTGAGGTTTTTATTTGAAACTGCTTAGTATGGAAGTTTTTTTTGGTATGCCCTTTTCTGGTTGCCTTTGGTTTATGGCAGTAACTTTTGTATTTTCACTTACATTTGGTCCTGACGGCATGCATAATGTGGTTGGGAAATGGTGGTTCGACCTTTCAAGGATTCAGTTCTTTGCATAGTGTACTCTTTGCTAAGCTAAAAATATCACACCTCCTTCAAGGTTTTGAGGGTTAAGTCGAGTTCCTTTTCGTCCAGGTTAAACGGAAATATAGGCTTGCTCCAACGGTGCCTTTATCAGAGAGGAGAAACTCTATGTTATTGTTGGAGGACCAGCAAAGAGCTTCTATTAGAGCTGACAAGGATGAAATGTGTACACTTGCAAAAGCTCAAATCGATTTAGAATTAGCCAAGATGAGAACCATGAGTTCCCAAGAGGCAGCAGCAGCTGCTGCTCGAGCGGTTGCAGAAGCTGAAGCAGCAATAGCAGAAGCTGAAGAGGCAGCAAGGGAGGCCGAGGCAGCTGAAGCCGACGCAGAAGCAGCACAATCATTTGCAGAAGCGGCAATGAAGACACTGAAAGGAAGAAATCTCCCAAAGATGGTAAAACTGTATTGTATTCATACTGTTGAACATGCTGCATTAATGTCTATCATCTCCCAATTAGACTGGGATTCTTTTAACCAGCATTGTTCTCATTTAAGCTTCACTCATGATCCATCATTCTTATGTGACCGTTTGACTTCGCGGTTAACAAATGTCTCAGAAACTCTAACCTTAACGCGCATTTCTTTTGGTAAACACTAGCAGATGATCCGGGTTTGATGGAAAGAAGAAACTGCTTTGGAGGAGTAATGGAGCTGTTCTTTCATGGATCGAGATACTGTTCTGCATTCTCTGTCCAGTAGCATTATAAGCAACCTCTTCCACACCATTTTCAGTTGCTTCTGGGCAACTCGAGCAAGCGAATCATGTCTGACTACAAGAACTCTAATTTCACGCAGGAGGAAACATTGTATGGGTTTAGTTAGTTGCATGTAAAAATGTCTATTGCTTGTAGCGTAGGAGATCTGTGGGCTTAGAGCTTTGTTCTCTGATGCTAATGAATTATTGCCATTGTTTATTTACATTTGGTCTGAACCTATACTGGAAACTTTGGAGTCGTACTAATGTAAACAAAGAAAAAGATAGGTAAATAAATGAATTTTTACCAAAGAAAAGACGGACTTCATTTTATTTCAAATTCTGCAGGATTATCTCAGAAATTTCCCCTTTTCCTGTTAGCAGCTTCAATCCTTATTTATTATTATTATTTTTTTGGGAAAATACTTGGACTCTTCAAGAGAAAATCATGTAA